ACAAACAAAAAATGAACTTTAAAGCTTCTCCTAGAGTTGATTTTTGGTGATGACTGTCATCAATAATTCCCAATTACAACATGTAGAACAGGTAAAATTAATTCCAACTCTGAATTGAAAATGAGAAGTGATGTCAGTTTTCATGGTTAGAGACCATGGGGTATACCATGTAGTATACATTTTCAGGAGCCAGATAAAACCTGGACTCTGCTGTGTGCATGGCACCTGCACCACTTTGGACAAGTGACTTAACTTTTCTGAGACAATTTTCTCATCTGTAGGTGGTGATTATGGTAATTATTTCATGATATACACACATATGAAAACATGCCATTGTAACCTTAAATATATAAAATTTTTATTTGTCAATTATATCTCAGTAAAGTTGAAAAAATGGGTTAAATAATAGCAGACTTTTAAGATCATTTTGTGTGTATGTATATATATATATATGAATATGCAGCTTAGGATGATACTAGAACATTTCAAGTACTCACTAATTTATAGCCCAAATGTCCATCTGTTTCCTCAGCCAGTGGTTGCACGTGATGCTAGCTCACCCTCTACTGCATAGTAACAGTACCCGCCTCTCTCCCCACACCTGTCCTCTCCTGCCAGAGTGGCCACTGCTGCCTGTCTCAGGGAGGTACCCCTCCCTAGGGCTCTACTCTGTGCCCTAGAAGAGAACTCTGCTTTGGCTCAAGTCCTGTCAGAGGCCTCAGGGCACCAATGCTGTGCAATGGACAAGGACAGAAGGGAAAAATATCCTTCTTCCTTATTCGCCAGGACCTTGAAGCAGCTGATGTGTGACCCTCCTGAAACAGATCCATCCGCATCCTCTGCTTCACTCAAAATAAGCCTGAACTTGGAATTATGCTAAGAAATCAGCCACGCTTGTTTGCCATTTCCCTGTCTCTTCCCTCTGTCCCTGGCAATGTGCTTGTTGCTGTCCTGGCATTAGTTCATTCTGCCAATAAGCTTTATAGATTCAACACCAATTTGTAAATGAAGAGATAAGTTGTATTGTGATACAACTTATCTGATACAACTAGTATCAGACAACAGAAAATACCTGAGTCTGGGTAATTTAAAACAATAGAGCTGGGCTAGACTGTGGTGTGGCAGTGAAACAGGAGTCTCCTCCAGGCACAGACATGTGGGAAAGTCGGTGGTTCACATCCAGAGGCCTCTCTGAGTACACAAAGTGCCAGGATGCCCACAGTCTGGGCTAGCTGAGGCTGGGGGAGGATCATGGCATAGAGACCTATCAAGGGACTCTGTATCTAACTTTCTGTCTGTCTCTCTCTGTATCTTTCATCATAGAATAAAAGAATTTGAAAAACAGGATTTTTTTTTTTTTAAAGAAAAGAAGAGAAATTCATTCAGCTCAAGACCAGAGGCCACTTCTGGTAGACATCTAGTAAAGGTTTTCTTGCCATGCAGGTCCTCACATCATGAGAGTATAGAAGCATATGTTTCTGTGTGTTCCTTAGGAATTGATAATGCTTGGTCCACCCTAATGACTTTAATCCTAATCTTTTCCTAAAGGCATCTTTCTACTGTAGTATAAATACATTTTTTATCCTCTTAATCTCATCACAACCAAATCTCAACACTTGAATTTTTGGGAGACATGTGAATCATTACATCCACTGAACCCTAGGGAAATTCAAAATGCCATTTTCCCTCTTCTTTTAACCTCCTTTAATAAATTCCTGAAGGGTTACCAGCCTTGGATATCCATTTTCCATTAAGATAAACACAATATGCCTTGGAATATGTTATCAATTACTATTTGTTTCACTCCAAGTCAAGTTAGGCCAGAGTTAACACTGACTGAAAAATAATAGTCTGGATCCACCATGATGGCACACCCTAGATTTAATTTCTAGCCCACCCAACTCCTGTGGCATGCCCCGTGGTTCCAGTTGCTTGGAAGCTAAAGTAGCAAGACCTTGTCTAAAATACCACAAACACACACACACACACACACACACAGAGACACACAGATACACACAAAGCAATGAGCCTGAAGAGGTATAAAGAGTAGGATTTCAGTGCACAAACTGGGATTATAAATAGAATGCAGGCAGGAAATTAGGAAATTGAGAGTTTTGAAAACAAGGGACCAGCAGGTGGTGTAATGGCTATGTGCTGGACTCCCATATAGTCAACCACAGTTCGAGTCCCAGACCCGGAGGCTAAAACTCACACTGGGCACTTGTGAGTGTGTGCCCAAGATCCAGAGAAAAGAATGGAGGAGAAGGGATTATGATATGGCCATCCCTCCTGGGGGGTGATTTTTTGCTTTCTGTCTGTCTCTCTTTCTGGCAAGAGCATGTGCCCAATAGCAAAAACCTCTCCAAAAAATATAGAGTTTTGAAAATAAAATGTAGCAATTTTAAAGAATGAAATAGAAAGGGTGGTCTGAGAGATTATAAATGAGACATCATCTCTTTTGTTTATCTTCTTTTTAAAAATTTCTTACTTGCTCTAGCTATTTTTTTTTTCCATACTTCACACCCCTCTCATCATCCTCACTCCTTTCCCTGGTCCTTTATTTAAAAAAAAAAAAAAAAAAAAAAGCCAAGTCAAGCCATCTTCCAGATAAAGAGCAAGACTTTCCCTTACCCCTGTTATCTTCACTCCCCATTTCCTTAACTCATCTTTCTATCCCACCTATAGGTAGAAAAATAATTGGACTATTTTTTGGTGAATGAGGTTTTGATCATAGTCTACAAGAAATCTCTAAAGATTGCTTTTGAACTATAACCAATTTCATGCCCAGTAGAAAACTTCAGTTTCACAGAAGGGAAAGCTAAACAAGAACATTCAAAAAAGTCTTTCTAAAAAGAAGGTGATTCTAGACACACTTGTGTGATTACTACCAATTCTTAAGAAATCAGAAGAGAAGTCCTCGACTGAAATGCTGTGTGTTATTTATCCTGGGCAAATGTAAGGTACTCTGCTTATCAGAACTATTATATGCCAAGCATCATTTTTCATCAGATATATTATGGCAAAGACTAAATTTAATGTCAGTTATTTTTGCAAGAGTCTACTAAGTAACAGAACACAGATGATATTACTGAAAAAAAGCAATTGGTAATATTTTGCAGGTATTATTATCAATCTATTTTCTATCAGTGTTTTAGAGCAAAATGTCCCCAGTTCATTCAGCTCTAAGAGATTTGGTTTTTCTGAACTTCCCAAATTCCAAGTCTGTCTGCTGCTGTTGTTTGAAAAATGAGAAATGAGACCCACACACTGTTAATGATGATATGACATTGTTTCATTTTTTCATTTTGTGCATTTATTTCTTATTAGCAGCTCAAAATAATCCTTAGATCAGGAAGACAGCAAATGCTTTCTGGTTACCATCACTCACATGTTCTTTATACCAAACGCTTTCTGGTTACCATCACTCACATGTTCTCTTTATACCAAATGCTTTCTGGTTACCATCACTCACATGTTCTTTATACCAAACGCTTTCTGGTTACCATCACTCACATGTTCTCTTTATACCAAATGCTTTCTGGTTACCATCACTCACATGTTCTTTATACCAAACGCTTTCTGGTTACCATCACTCACATGTTCTTGATGCCAAGGCCCATTCTCCTTTAACCTGAATTCCCAGTAGAGGCGGGGAGTGGGATGGACAAGGAAACCTGTAACAAGTTCAAGCACTGTCTTCCTAGCACGCCCCTTTCAGCTGCAGATATGATTCATTTAAAAGTCTTAGACATGTTTAACTTTTTTTATGTTGAGATAATGGATTGTAGTAGCAAATTAATATTTCACTCATAACTTTTTCATAGTCAAGCTCTTTCAAAAATAGAATATAGAACTGATCATGTTTTACTTAATTATTAAAAATGAAAATGTGTATGTAAATGCCTATGGATTCATCTCTAGTGTTTCTTCTCATTTCTTCCAGTGTGTTGTTTCTTCCCATGCTAGTTAGGAACTCTAACTTGGGGCATCTAGCTAAATACCAGGAGCAGGTGAAACACCTAAAAATATCCTCATTTACATCTGTTTCTTTTCCTTGTGCGAGGGAGGTTCATCCCACCTGATTTTGCCTTGATAACAAGGAAATAACTTATGACAATTGGGAATTAATTTACTGCTGCTCTCTCATGCTACCATATCAGATCTTTCAAGGTTTGTCTCAAATCGATGTTGACTTCCAGGAGAGCAGGACAATAACAGTCTTTGGCATTTTTACAGTTTATCCAGTTGCTATCAGAGATGATTAATAACAATTCCTTTATATAAATTGGAAAATTTGGTTAAATGAGCCCAATCCTCTTTGACTTAGTCTTTTTGTTTTTCACCTTAGAGCATGTACACTCACCAGAGAGAGGGAAAGTGAGAAGTCACCTCCCACCCTGGGCGGGGAGGCGTGCCCAGACTGCAATCCCTTCTCCTCCATTCTTCCCTCTAGATTTTGGGCACACACACAGACATGCCTGGCCTGACTTTTCAGCTACCAGTCCAGGACTTGAACCTTGGATAAACATATAAGAATCCAGTGCCTTAACCACCATGACACCTGCTGGCCTACCTCTTTGTCTTCTTATGAAAACATACTAATATAGAGTTCATATTCTTAAAAAGTAGCATAACAAAATATAGAAAATTTACCTTACATTTATTAAATATGGATCACTTCCTATAAAACTTTAAGATCAGTTCTACAAAATGAAAGAGAAAAACATGTATAAATGCAAATCAATTCTGTATTGGCTTCTTATTACCACATTAAAGAGAAAATCTGAGGATGTAAGTTATGACTTAATTTTGATTTTGAATGCATACCACTACCTAATGTACATAAAATAACCATCACAGAATGAAACTGATATATCCAACAGCTGGTTGCATTTAAATGATTTTAAAGTAAGTGCTTATAAAATGTCAATTTTTGGTGTTTTGTTGCTTAGGAATGAAACAAATCACAGATATGTTTTTATGTTGATTTTCTGTGACAGGACTGGGAATTCCCGCATTTCATGGGAGATGTTGATGTAAATCTCCCTGGATTGCACACACCTCACATGCAATTCAAGATTCCTTTCTTCCAGAAGATTTTCAAGGAGGAATATCGCATTCACATAACAGGTATCTCATAACTTTGAACACAATTTGATTGTCTTCAAATATTTGGGTAATGCTAGATGCTATTAAAAAAAGCAAACCAGAACATTTTAGAGGCATGAATGTAATTTTACTTGTCACTCACTTTGTGGTGCAAGGTGGCTCCAGGCTGGCTGGGGGCCTCATACCATCATTCTGGAGCCTAGGCTACTGGTAGGCTTCCACAACGTCAATGCTGACATCCAGCAGGCAGGTGAAAATGCAAAGGAAAGTGATCAAGAAAGATGAACTGTCTCTTAACCATGGAAAAGAAGCATGTTGCCTCATATTGCATCAACCATCCTAGATGATAACCTACATAGCACCAAAGAGAGCAGGGAGATGTAGACTGCATCTGGACAGACGCTGCTGATGTCAGGTCTAGAATTCTAGTATATGATTGCCGTCAGAGGAGAACAAATCTGTGGTGTGGACAGTTATTTCTGTTATACTTCGTTAGTGCTCCACCTTGATCTTGTTCATTTTCATGGCATACCACTTAGTATGTATTTTAGCATTAATACTCCTTATTTTTATTGCTATAGGGCATGTGTATGCATTTGTCAAGGAGAGAAAGAGAGGGAAGAGGAGAGCTAGAGAAAGAGAAAACACCCCCCCAGTGGGGTGTGGTCATGCCACAATCTTCTTCCTCCATTTCTCCAACCTGTCAGGATTTAGGGCACATGTACACGTGTGCTCAGTGTGCCTTCAAGCCACCAGAGCGAGGATTTGAGCCACAGTCAGCCATGAGGGATCTGGCTCCCAATACACAGCACTTCACCACCACACAATGGGACCAGCTCAACAATATTCTTAATGCTTCTTTATTTGTCGATGAGATCAAGACAGTGGTATCCTAGTGCACCAGTCAGTTCATACGCCTTTAGGAAGCTGGGCCACTTCACATTTAATTTTGTAAAATCTACTTCTGTGTCAGAGCTCAGGTTTGTCTCAAGTGCTTCTCTCGTGGATCCCCAGATTATTTCATTTTCAGGTATTTCCTGCTTTTGAAATAGCTCCAACATGATTTATTATAATATTCTTTCATGCCATCTCAGTCATTCTTATCTAAAAATAGGCTTCCTGGAGTTACATTTTATATCTTTATTTCTTTTTAACAAGAAGCAGACAGCTGAATGATCACAGATAAAGGATGGCATGAGTTCCCAAGCTATTCAAATGCAGGTAGTGAATGTGTATGTGTGTGTGTGTGAGTATGTGTGTGTGTGTGAGTATGTGTGTGTGTGTGTATGTGTGTGTGTGTTTTCAGGACAATGCCTTAGGATCCCACACCTGCTATAATAAAAACTGCTGAAGAAATCTGTGCTTACACTACCGTCTGTGCTGCCGAATAAAAATAGCCCGAGCACAGAAAACGAACATCTGAGTAGTGCAAAAAACCTTTGCTTCCCAGCTAGGAGGCTGTTTTTTTGCTTTGAGCATGAGGCGACCTTCCTAAATTGGAGAATGAGCTCATGAATAGGGAAGATGCAGCAGGTTTCTTTTCCTATTCAAAATGAATGAGGCCATCTATTAAATTCACAGGGTAAATCAATCAATTTGAGTTCAGGTCACATAGTGTGGTTTCAGAGTCCCCACTTAATCTCTGCAGCCTGCTTCCCTCTTGGACTTCTAAAACAGCCACCTCACACATGGCGTCGTCATATCCCTTTGGGTGGGCTTTTGCCTGGACCATCTGTTCTTGCTACCAGCTCTTGTCCCAGGCCATCACTGCACTAATATTGTCTCTGACTGACTCTCAGAATTCCTTTCAAAAGCATACTGCTTAAATGCAGAATGTCAGATTTAAAAGAAATGGTAAAGTTGTTAAGAAAAAAAATTGAGCTGTTGAAATTATTTAATGTAGAGCTATCTGGCCTACCCTGTCATTCACAGCTGGGGCGGATTCAGGTTTTTGATGTCCAAAGTTTACACAATTTAGAATGGTCTGTTTAAAAGATGAATACAAAGTTACATCTAAAGATTTAGTTCGGAGCCTTGGAAGAGGGCCATATATGTAGGCATCACTGATGATTGGATGTCATTAGCTTTGAGGTTAAAGCTTACTGTGCCTTTAGAGAGCAACAGATACATGATTTCCATTTGAACTGAACCTCTGTTTCAACAAGTATTATTTTCCCAAAACATATAAGGAAGAAAGACTAGTAACGTTTTTGTATTGGAGACTACACATTAATAAAGTTTGCCAGAAGGAGGAAATAGGTTATAATTAAAGCCTTGGTGCAGTGTTTGCCAAGATATGCTGGCTGCCAAATCATTGGAAGGGCTTTGTCAATTTACAGATTGTTGGGCCCATCCCTAGTGGTTTTGACCTAGTTGGGCTGGACAAAGGCCAGTGAATGGAAATTTGGGAAACAGTGATGTTGATAATTGGGGACTATTTATTTCTAATTGAAAAGCTACAGATGAAGTCACAGTGTCTCCCTAAAATGGGTCATTCAAAGACTTGGGTGCCTGGACCTACTAAGAAGATCTTTGAGGATTTTGGAATTTAAATTAAAAAAATATAATAGCATAAGTGAGGGCTTAGAGGTAAAGGGCTCTACCCAAAACAAATCCATTCCAACTTGTTTGCAGTAATCCACAAGCCTGTGATTAAAATTCCTATGGAAATGGTTGCAGGTTTAGAGGCTGAATAAAGTCAGAACACTTTCCCTTCTTTTTATCCTGTTCGTGTTACTTTCAGTGTTCTTTTTATCAGCTGAAGGGGTTGCTGAAACCACTCTGGAATAGCATCTAGTCTCCTGTGAAGAGCCTTTTACTTTATTTGACTTTGTAAATCATTTATTTCTGAAGAAACATAGGGATGATTTCCAGAATACAGTGTTCCATGTTGCATTTTCATATTCGAAATAGTAGCCTACAAATCTACATGTGAAATGTGCAAGCTAACTTGTTTATCAGCTCATCCAAGTTCATCTTCTTTTTTTTACAGAAGCTTTAATACTTTCAATGGATTACAAAAGTTAGTGTGCAGTAGAATCACCTGCAGAGCTTCTTAAAAAGGCAAATGCGGGACCAGTAGGTGGCGTGGTGGTTAAGGCGCTGGACACTCCCACATGGCTGACACCAGGGTTCAGGGCCTGCATCTAGTGGCTTGCTTTCTCACTTCCTCTCTCTCTCACTCTCACCCTCTGTCTCTCTCTGGTCAAATTAAAAAATAAATTAATGAATGAATAAAATAAAATAAATAATTATTTTTAAAAAAGGCAAATGCACTACACTGTTGGTGGGAATGTAAATTGGTACGGCCATTGTGGAAAACAATATGGAGGTTTCTCAAAAACTTACAAATTGAATTACCATAAGAGCCAACAATTCCACTCCATCGTGTTTATTCAGAGGATAGGAAAGCATTCAGTCAGAAGTACACTTGTACTTCCATGTTTATTGCAGCATTATTCATAATTGCAAAGACATGGAATCAACCTAAATGTTCAAGAATTAATGACTTGGGTTGAAAAATTGTGGCATTGGGAACCAGCAGTTGGCGTAATGGCTATGTCACTGGACTCTCACGTAGTTGACCATGGTTTGCGTCCCGGACCCGGTGGCTTAAAACCCACGCCGGGCGCGTGTGTGTGCGTGCCCAAGATCCTGAGAGGAGAATGGAGGAGAAGGAATTGCGGCATGACCATCCCCCCTGGGGGGTGATTTCTCGCTTTCTGTCTCTATATCTCTCTCTGTCTGGCAAGCGCACACACCCTATAGCAAAAACCTCTCAAAAAAAAAAAAAAGAAAAAGAAAAATTGTGGCATATATACACTATGGAGTACTATTCCACCATATATACACTATTTAGTACTATTCAGAAACAATGAGACATTGTCATTTATCTGAAAGTGGTTGAATATGGGAGAACTACTGCTAAGTGAAGACACAAACTGTATATCCCCACTCAATATATACTGAGTGTCTGCACTCTATGTCAGAATTCAAAGATCTCAAAATGTGACCGTAGAAAGGATAAATGTAGACACTAGAATCTGTAAGCAGAAGGAGATGGATGGTAGAGGGTGGGTGAGAGGGGCAAAGGGAAGAAACACTTTACAAACCCAAGAATGCAAAATTATCTATTGAAAGTTATGTACATGGTAATAGTCTTGAACTGCCTGACAATGGTAATATCTTTGAATTACTCAACACACATGCATTTATGTTTTGAGAATCCACATTGTATGCTATAACAACATACAATGATTAAATGTAAATTTAAAAAAAAAAGAAAAGAAAAAAGGCAAATGTATCAGCTGTATATCCAGAATCAAATGCTTCAGAAATGGGGCAGAGCCTGGAATTTGCTGTTCTCTCAAATACAGCAAGTGACACCTGTGCTGACAGCTGTAGTACCACTCTTTGAGACACTTGCTGAGAAGTGTTTCCTATAGTCAAAATTCCTCTCATCTCATCTTTACTTTTATATTTAACTGTTAAAATCAAATGTCATGGGCATAATACAAATTCAATAGAAATGGAGTGACCAGTGAGAAAGTCACATGGTAGAAATATTCTAGGAGATGGAAACTTCAGAACTGGGGCCAACAGAAAAAGTCACAGAATAGAAGGATGCTGGGGGACCAGCAGACGGCATAATGGCTACATCGCTCGTCTCCCATGTAGTTGACCATGGTTCAAATCCCGGACACAGTGGCTTAAACTCACACCAGGTGCATATGCGTGTGTGCCCAAGATCCTGAGAGGAGAATGGAAGAGGAGAAAGGAGGATTATGGCATGGCCATCTCCCCTGGGGGGTGATTTCTTGCCTTCTGTCTCTCTATCTCTCTCTCTGCCTTTCTGGCGAGTGCACGTGCCCTATAGCAAAAACCTCTCAAAACAAACAAAAAAAAAGATGTTGAGTCTGGATGACCATAGAGGAAACTGGAGCCAGTGATAATAAGGGACCCTTAGATGCCAGATGGCTCCCCTTGTTTTATCTGCCTGTGTTTGCTCTGCACTAGAAGAG